GAGCACCCATCCACTGGCCGAGCCCTTGCTCGGTGCCATAGGGACTGTACACGGGCGCTCGGGCCCCAGGTTTCCCAACAGAGTCTAGAGCCATGTTCACCACTCCTGTGTAGTCCTGGGGAGGAGGCAGAGGCGGGGGGAGCGGAGGCAGGTTGGTGAAACCCTCTGGAAGCTGTTTGGAGTCATGCTCGGGCACCGCGGCGAGATCCAAGGCATGGCACCTTGCCCGGAAATCGTTCAAGGTTGCGGCATCGCGGGTGGGAAGCTGCTGGCTGTCCCCGGTTTCGTGGAACCTGAGCCCCGAGGGCAGAGAGAGGAGCGAGTCAAACCTTCCGCAGTGGAAAACCACTGAAAACCCACACAGATCCCCTGGGGAAGGGCAGGGCAAGCTCTTAGCGTGCCCTCTTCCCCGTGCCTACTGCTTCATCTTACTGCTAGTGGCGATTTTAGTCACTCATAGAAAAACTAAATGCCGGAGAAGCTGAGTCCAGACTACCCTAGTGCTGGCTCAGTTCTAGTCTGGGCTCACTATAACTCATGCCTGAATTTGCAGTGCTAAGAAGGAGGGGGGGGAAAAAAAATTAAAAAAAAAAAATTAAAAAAATCAGTGGAATCCTGCTACTCCTCCAACACGCTTCCTCCAAAGGACAGGCAAGCTCTGCGGTACACAGAGCTGGCTGGGAGAGCACTTCAGGACAGGGAAATAAAGAGCATTACTAAGACATGAGTATGCCCAGAATCCGTGGGTCTGAAGTAACGCAGAAAGGCATTGTGGAGCTACCTCCATGCTAATCTAGCACCTATCACCCAGGGATGCTGTCCAACAGAAAGGCATCCTTGTTACTCCCACTGACTGATTTTTTTTTTAAGAAATAACCAGTAGAAGAGGATGAATCCCATCAATTAAAGGGCGGCTTTGGACATGAGCACCAGGAGGTGGGACTCACCGATAGGTCTGGTAGGATGGAGTAGGCACTTGCTGCTCTCTGGCCAGGCCCTCCCTCTGGTCAGCTGGCACCGGCGATGCTGCAGGGAAGGCATGGCTGCCATTCTGCTCCGAGACCCAGAAGGGGTATCCGCTGCTGACCACGATGGGGTTACTCTCTTCCTTCACATCTACGTTCTCGTCTTTCTCAAAATCTGACTCACAGTGGGGAAAAGAAAGAATGGAAAAAAGATGAGAAGGGGGGAGAGAGCCAGAGCTCACAATGGTCTATTGGCAGCTGCACTAATCGCAGGGTGGTGGAAGGAAACACACTAATCTCTCTTCTGCACTCATAGCCCTTTCCAGCTTTTTTCTGCCTTTGCACTGTAGTGTTCGCTCCTGCCCTGTCCTCCCTCCATAGCTGTGCTACTGCAAGCAGCACCGTGAACTGGAGCAAGGAATGATCAAGCTTAAAAAACAACCTAACAGTAAGAGTAAAGATTTGTTGCTTGGGGTTTTTTTTTTTTTTTAAATGGTATCAGTTCCCACATCTGCATCCCAAGGCAGCTGCACCAACAGCACTGCTGGCACAACTGCACTGATGAGAACCGAGGAGAAAGCAAGGGGTGATACTGCAAGCTCGTACCGCTAGTGAAGAGAAATGTTACGGAAGCACAGCCTACGGTCATACGTAGCCACGGCACACGGCCAGGCTGGGGAGGGAGCTGACGAGTAGTCAGTAATGACAAGCGACTTGCGAGCAGTCTCCTGTGGATCATTCCCACAGATTCAGAGACTCAGAGCCAACCACAGCACCCTTGAGGGACTCCACCCAGGCCACTCTCCCCAGGGAATGGGCTATGTTGCTGTTTCTTTTCCTTCCTGTGGCCTGGGCACGGTTTGGAAATCATTCTCTGGGTTTGTTGTAATCAATATTACCACGTTCCTCAGCACCGGACTCCTTTTCCTCGGGCAGCTTCCTCTTCTGGCCCTTGGCTGGACTAGGCTTCTGGCATTTGGCTCGTCCTTCCCTGGAAAGAAACGAGACACGGGGGTAGCTTGTATGTAAGCTTTTTGCCTAGATAAATACGCAAGGGATGCTGGACAAGCCCTGGAAGACAAAAAGACGGGATGAACCTCTCTGACGTTCCGTGACTTACACCTCTCCTAGCGAACCACCCTGACAGGCTCCCGGGGAGCGCGCTTGCCATAGTCGAATGACAGGGTTAGCCACGCTGCCTGCCATCAGTGCGCGCCTCCAGCGAGAGCCCTCGTCCCTCACGATGCGGGGGATAAACCCGTAAAGGGGTGGCCCACTTCGCCTTGGTACAAAAGGCACAACCAACGTGGAAACTCAGCAGCGGAGGTTTCGGCACTGAGTTTGTAAGTGTAGTCCCATGTTGGATACACATACTATGCACACAGGTACGTGTACAGTAGGGTGGGTCTTTCACTTGAAAGCAGCTTTTTCCTAAGTGGAAAATGAGTCTAAGCTTAGTCAGAAACAATCCTATTAGGAGGAGAAAGAAAATCCATGACATTTTCAAAGTTTAAGTAAAAAAGAGTCAGTTTTGGCCTTTTTCATCAGGAAATGAGATATTTTTTCAGGCATAAAATACCACAAAACAAAATCTCAGCTATTTTCATAACATTTTCTGCTTGGAATAAAACATTTTTTCCTCCTCTGTTGCCAACCTATGGCTGCATTTAAGCTTTTTTTTTTTCCCATCCACTGGCTGCCTCAGAGCAGAATGAAGGTCTCTCTGGTATTGGTATCCATCTTCCCTCTTGCAGCCAAAAATCTCCTGTTGGAAGAGATGCTTTTCCACACACAGGGAAAGGAGATGAGGGAGGCTCCAAATGTCAGAATCAAGCCGACCTCAAAGAGACACAATGATCTACTGTGGGCTCCTGTTATCACTGCTATTCACATGTCAGGCTCCAGTCTAACTCCAGCTTCCAAGGGAATGCAGGTCTCGGATTTGTCACACCTCCCACGCTTCTGTAGGAAATCCTGTATCTCCTCCTTCTCCCCAGGTCTCCTGGGAGGAGGCCGCAGAGGGGGACATCATTCCCAGATACAGGCAAACGCAGCGTGCCCAGCGCAGCCGGCTCTGCAGAGCTAGCTGGTATAGTTTTGCTCAACGGCCTTGGGTAAAATTCACAAATGAACCCCAGTTGTAAAGAAATTAAGATGAAAAAACAGGTTACCTTCGAGTGTTCTTCCCATGCTCACGGAAACCTTTAGCAAATGGGTTGTTGTCAATCTTGAGCTTTGTTATCTTAAAATAAAAGGAACAAGATTAAGTATCATGGTGACTGGCTGGGTTCTTTACTGTTTCAAGACCTTCGCCTCAGTATTTATCACAACAGCTTGTCTGAGCGTTTTGGGCATGCCCTTGCCACAGTATCTGAGCTCTCCCAGCAGCTCCCGTTATTGATTAGGAACTGACAAACAGAGAGAAGTGACTTTGCCAGGGTCAG